GACATATCCAACTTTGAGGATCTATACTGTTCCGGTATTTGATCTAGACAATATAATTTGAGTTTGAAAGCTAGGTTGTCGTTCATGAAAGGAATAAGTTTCTATTAATATGGCCGAATACTGCTGTCAGATTCATATAGCAAGAATTTAATTTTTTATTGGGGAGGTAAAGCGGCACGGATTGAGAAAGCTGGGAGCCGAGTTTAAATCCCAGTCGAATCCAGTTACATTTACTTATGCGCTAAAACATTTGGCAAAGGTATGAATCCTTCTCTCTTCCAGCTATGGGTAAATAGCAGGAAAACTGGTTTCTTTAGCCTTGGATGGCAACTGGTTTACAGCAGAAACCAATGGCAACCTACTGAGGGGAAAAAATCTGCCTCTTCAGTCATCTATGGGAAGATCACGGTATCACGCATGGCAAATAAGTGACTGATATTTATTTTATTATAATTTGATTTTATTATTATTTTTTTAAAGATTTTATTGTCTACTATACAGTGAAGTAATGGATAACGGCTCGGATTGAGGAATCAGAGAACCGAGTTCGAATTCCAGTCAAATCCATTACATTCACTTACGTGGTAATACTTTTGGGAAAGGTATGAATACTTTTCTTCCCCACCACACTTATGGGTAAATAGCAGGACAGCCCGGGTTCTATAGTCTTGGATGGCAACTGGTCTACCACAGAAAAAAAATGGAAACCTACTGCAGGAAAAATATGCCTCGTCAGTCATGTATCGAAAGATACATGATCTACTTCGTGTGTATCACGCATGGCGCATAACTGACTGAAGGAATTCTTTTTGTGTTGTTTGACGATAAATATGCCGTCATTGCACCACTTATCTGAATCATAAGAAGTTGACGTTCATAAAAAGATGAGAGCCTAATTAGTACAATGTTCATTAGTATCTTCACATAATAGATCCAATAATGATACCTTTGTATGTGGGAGGTTTTGGTGGTTAATTTTTTGTTTCTACAGTGGATTCAAACTCGATACTTTTTGAAATGCAATTTGGATTCTAAAAATCCTTCATGAAATTTAGAAACTTTTTCCAAATTTCGGGTAGAGCGTTCGTTGTTTTCAAATAATTCAGCCTCAATATCACGAGATGCTTTTTTTATACCATAGCCTGATTTATAACTTCCTTTATAACTTCCTTTTTAGCTTCGTTAGTGTTTGTCTACAGACAGATATTTAATGCCACGGATGTCTATTAGTGTATGTTACAATTCCATGGGTATCTTGAGCTTAGTGTAGCCATGTGGTGTGACTACCAGTGTTTTATTTTTGTTTTGTTTTTCAGATCAGGACCTCTATTCTGTTTCGGTATCGAGTGTATCATGCTACAGCACAGAATATATACGGCTTGATATATTAATTTTTGTCTATATCCTCGAGATTATTATTACTTACATTATTCACATTATTCACTGTTATCCTCATCTTCATTGCCATATTCACAAAGTTTCGGCCGTTGCACACTCCGGCCTTCTTCAAGACCTGTCTATATCTCTGAGATGAGGTATTATGATTACTTGAATTTTTACATTATTCGGAGTGTTATCCTCATCTTCATTGCCATATTCACAACGTTTCGGCCGTTGTATGCTCTGGCCTTCTACAGGACCTGTCTATATCTCTGAGATAAGGCATTTTGACTACTTGCATTATTTATATTATTCGGACTGCTATCTTCATCTTCATTGCTATATTCACTATGTTTCAGCGGTTGTACACTCCGGCCTTCTTCAGGTGATTACCTGATGGAGATGCTGACTTTCTGTACGCAAACAGCACATTTTGGAATAAAATAAAACATATATTGACAGGAAAGTGCTTAGCAATGGGCTCGCCATTATTACCAGCAATGGCAAACCTATATATGGAATAGTTTTATGAAATGGCATTAGAATCAACATCACTAAAGCCAACTCTCTGTTTGAAATACGTAGATGACACCTTCATACTCTGGCCACATCAGGACGAGGTCCAGCTACTACTGGACCATGTGAAGATCATCGATAGAGTTCACAATGAAGAGAGAGAAAAAAACAAACCAGCCTTCCTGGATGTACTAATATCTCGAACGGAGAATGGGTTCAAGACATCCGTATACCGCAAGCCTACATTCACCGGACAATAACTCAAATTCAACTCCCACCACAGAAATCAGCATCTCCATTAGATTTTCTATTGGTATACTGGTCCGTTCTCCTATGGATGAATCCGTGGCTATTCAGTCCCTTACTACCGAGAGTACCTCCTCCCTGGGTACCTTGGTGAACAAACTCGCCACGTTTAGGACTGGATGGGAGCATCTTTAATTACTTCCACGAAGTGGGCGGATTTCTGGACATACGATCGTATCTTTCTTATTAATGGGTCGATTATATCTACTAGGAAACGACTCAGAGGGTGGCACACAATGCCTTGGAAGGTAACAATCTGCTTAACAGGAATATCGTGATTGGGAAGTTTTAGGAGACCGTATGTGAAAGGTAGCTTGGTGTAACGCTGTGATAACTTCCTATATGTCTTAGGTGCGAAGAGGTCCTTGTTCTTGATTAGGATCTGTGATAGGTTGTGTTCTGTTTTCATTGTAGGATTTTTCTTTACTTTGCTCTAACATTCGCAATGAGGTCTTCCAGTTTTTCAGTATATGAGAACAGATCATTATAGCAATAGATAACCTGATGAATATGCTGACTTTCTGTACGCAAGCAACACTCTTTGGAATGGGATCAAACATATATCGACAGGATGAGGGCTTAGCAATGGGCTCGCCATAATCATCATCTATGGCAAACCTATCTATGGAATACATTGAGGAAATAGAGTTAGAAACTACATCACTAAAGTCAACCCAGTGGATGAGATACGTAGATGACACCTTCATCCTCTGGCCACACCAGGGAGAAGTCCAGGTGCTACTAGACCATGTGAACTTAATAAGGTCATCGATATAGTTCACAAAAGAGATAGAAAACAACAACAAATGGGTCTTCCTGGATGTACTAATATCTCAAACAGAGCATAGGTTCAAGACATCCGTATACGGCAAGCATACATTCACCGGACAATACCTCAACTCCCATCACCCATAATGTGTAAAGAACGGGATCGTTCGCTGAATACAACATCGAACAAATGTTATAAGTGTCGATCCATAGACATATGAACAAGAAATGGCCAGTATAAGCAGTACCCTACAACGTAACGACTACCCCGGTTACATGACAGCAGCTCCTACAAACTGGAACAGAAGGGTACGAGAAGATAACAAAACTCAGAAAACAGCTTCATTCTGTGTGAAGAGATTATCGGAGAAAATACAAAATTCTGGACAACCTTCGAAAGTGGTTCAACACTTCGCAGATACCTCTTCCGAGTAAGATGCCCCCAGAAAGGAGAATATGTCTACGGACTGTGTGTACGCCATCCGGTGCAGCTATGGGTAAAACTGCAAGAACATCACAAAGTGGTAACACGAGGAGAGAATAGAAAAAATAAGTGGAAACTGACCGCATATGTAGGGAAAAGTGAGATCGCCATCCCCTGTGGGATCAGGTTGAAATAATAGACAAAAAACATTACTGAAAAATACGAAAAACTACAAAAGTCTCCTAGCCGACTAAGCATAGTGATGAATAGAGTATGGGAACCAGTTAAAGTAGGAGGGCTAGAGAAAATCAATGAATAACAATACTAAAAATGCAATATAAGTTCTGGTAAAAATATACAATAATAATAACGAAAAAATGCAATATAAGCACTGGTAAAATATGTAATGAGAATAACTAAAAAAATGAAATATGAGCACTGGTAAAAATATGTATAATAATAACGAAAAATTGCAATATGAGTACTGGTAAAAATATGAATTAATAATAACGAAAAATGCAATATGAGTACTAGTAAAAATATGAATTAATAATAACGAAAAATGCAATATGAGCACTGCTAAATATATGAAATAATAATAACGAAAATATGCAATACGAGCACTGGTAAAATATGAAATGAGAATAACGAAAAAATGCAATATGAGCACTGGTAAAAATATGAATAAAAAAGGAAAAAATGCAATATGAGCAATGGTAAAAATATTTATAATAATAACGAAAAAATACAATATGAGCAATGGTAAAAAATGTATTAATGCTAACGAAATAATTGCAATATGAGCACTGGTAAAAATAAGTAAATAAAACTATTGTTGGGTCGTTACATTTATAAGTCCCAGAACTAGGAACGCACGTGTCTTCAACGGTATATGGTTCAGTGTGTAATACCGGTAACTAGAGGCAAAGATCTATGAGTTCAATACGAGGCTATGACAGTGGTGAGCATCAAGAATTTTTTTAATTTGGTCACCAATTTTTTTTTTTTTTCAGATATTCATTACTTGGAGCTTTAACAAGTTTTGTTTTATATTTTCTTTCCACTATTTTCCATTCTATTCGGTTTTGTTTCTTTCTAGTATCAATCTTTTCAAATCAGGACTGTCGTCGCACGGGAGGAACTTTTTTTTTCGCCTAGATATTCTTGTAAGTTTCATACATGCTTCAGTTAAGGAGATTAAATTGATGCCATTTAATGGATTCCTCTATGTGGCTATGGTCAGCATTTATGGACATCATTGTGGACGACTTTGTTACTGAATTCTAATCTTAATTTTACATCATTTAGCATCTGATTCTTATACGCAGATGTCGTTCGTGGTTAATGTGAGCGGAAGCGAGATATTTTCTTGGCTGGTTTTGGATGTTTTGTCAAGAAAAGTCCATGATCGTACGTTCAAAAGTGAGAGTTATAAACTCTGACATTTGTGACAAATTGTCGAAACCGAGAGGCGGAAGGCAATATTCGACTTGTTCCCCCTAGACCATCGGATCAGATGATTTGGGGAGCACATGGTAACATTTATTACTTAAAAAGACACAGCACACTAAATACCTGGTTTGATCATAACATTGTTAGTTAGTTA